CGACAAGCTGGGCCGCCCCATATACATATATAGCATATGGCATGTGGCACCTGGCAGGCCGTTAGCCCGGCCCTGTAATCCATTCACTTGCGAAGGGAAATTATTATAATTGCATTAGTTCAAAGGCAGAAAATTGAAATTGAAATACGTTAGGCGATGTGATGGCACGGCCCCGGCTCACTCAGGATGCTGATGGATGGATGGTTGGATGGTTAGATGGACGAAAGGACTGAAAGGTGAAAGTACTGAAGGCAAAGTTGACGTAATGTGCCAAGGATGGGGCGTTGCCGTATGGACCAATCATTCGGTTAACGTTGCCTTTTCGCAAATTAATTAAAACTAATGAAATTACATTTTTTTCTTAGCATTTTTCGGTTCCTTCCTGCGTCAAATGAGATAAGACGGAAATCATCAGCAAATAGCTTATAATTGGCTTTTAACCGACGTCCTCATAGCTGCATTATCCGCCGCTTTTACGGGGCATCTAAAGCTTCTGCTTTAATGGAAAAAGTTCGGTTCCATACAAGTTCTAATCGCCTGACATTGATGAGCACGACTTGATAGACATTTCGTGCTCGTTCGACATTCGTGTACAATTTTTAATGGCTGTCGAATAGGAAAATCAATATTAAAAGTTGTTGCTGATTAACACGCTAAACGAACCAGCACATACAAGTCAAACAATCAAGGCTATAATAAAGTTGCTAGGAATATTCAGGTGCAAAGTGATGGATCAATGTGTTCTTTTTGATTATTGATATCTTGAATTGTTCTGATCATTTTTTAAAACTCTTTAACTCTTTTATAAACTCTTTAAACGTTTCTATTGTTATCTATATCTCATGCAATGAAACAGTGCTTTTTCGATTGCGAAACTTTTCCGATATTGATCGATTCAATTAAAAACAAACATTTCAAGACCATCGCAAATATTAAAGAACCATAAAAATATTTTCCCTCATAAAGTAAACCGCAGCGAACAGCGGAAATAATAAAAAATTCTCAGAAATGTAAAAATTTTATATGCGCTCCGCATGCGATTCACTGATTTGTGTTGAAAATATGCAAATAACCAAATGACTGACTGCCAGAAAATGCAATTGTTAAAACAACAAAAGTCCGGAAAAGCGAAAAAAATGCTGAAAAAGGGAAAACCTCTCGTGCGACATGTGCTCTTCTCTCTTCTGGTCCCTCAAACATTTACCCAGTCAGTCAGGTTATTTAAAGTTTTCTGTGTACGTCAGTACAATTCAGAAATGTTTTCCAGTCAAATTTGATATTAGCTGGAAAAAAGTTTTTTTCACAGAAGTGTGTTTTACATTTTTGATTTCACACTAACCGCCTACGAACAGTTGACCCCAAGTAATTAGAAAACTTTTCACCCAACTACCACTCTTCCACCAAATCCATGGAGATTTCACATCGGGTTTCAACAATCGCCAAAAAGACAAAACAAAAACTTCATATTCTCTGGGCACCCTTTCCCCCGAGTGAATTGAGTTTTCCCTTTGGTTTCCCCCATTTTCGGTTCTGGCAATTGAGGCGATTGTTGTGGGAAGACAGTGGCTGAAAAGTGCAAATTGCCCTCGTTAGATGCAATAAGAAGGGTTTTCCGGGAGGAGTTTTCTTGGGGAATTCTCACCCCCTTGCTGCACAATAGAAGTTTCCAGCTTTCAATTATATAAATATTCTCTAAGGATATATAAACCAATACCCTTGCTGAAAATAAGTTGCATTCACAGAGAAAACTATACAACGTTTTAGGTGCCGTTTTCATGTAAAAACGTTTTAAAAATAAAAATGAAAACGTTTTAAAAATGCAAAGTAAAATAAAATTGATATAAAGCGTTTTACTTTTTAAAATTTTTCACCCCTTATTTTGCATTTAAAATTTTGGATAATTTTCTCTGTATTAAGATCCTTTAGATTTGTATTACTTTTTTTTAAAACCCGTTTCCCAATAGTGTTAGCAGTAACCAATTGTTTGAAAATTTAGTTGTATTAAAGATAAAGCAATAAACGTTTTAATATTTAAGGCAAATTCTTATTTTTCCATAATACAATTAATCCATAAATATACGTCTCGAAACAATCCTTAGCCAAGAAGATTTCTGCATACTTTAATCCAGAAATAAAAATTGGGTTTGACTGGAAGGCAGAAACTAAGTTGTGGGTGGCAGTGGCCGACTTTGGTAGCTTCCTGCATCCAGAAGATAACATGAGCAACAAAGGCAACCGCTTCGCCTTTCATACAATCCAACGGAAGATGTTGCGAGTGGTTATAGACGGAGGGAAACAATAGTGCGGATATAACTGCGAGTGTCAGTGGGAGATAACTCGACATAAGTTGAGTGATTTTGCACGGAAAATATTTGCTGCGTTATTTCTTCGTAAATGTAATTATGATCCTTAAAAGTGACTAAAATTAAACTTGGCCCAAGATATCAAAGTAAAAATGTATTTGAAATTTTCATCTTTGAATTAAAGGTTGATGGTTGCTTTCCAATTTGTCACAAAATTATTATTTTTCAAATTTCAGAATACAATCGCTATCGTACTTATATTTAAAATTGGGATATTTTAACTATTTGTACCAGAATTTTATTAATACATTTTCCCAACTATCTTGTTGCTATAGTTTTCTTATTTTTGATAACTATTATTTCAAGAAAAATTCCCCTTTTCTTTCGGTGCATCATGGGGCGACGCCCAGCTGACTGCAAGAAATCGGCGAATCGATCCGGGGAGTGACTAAGAATTAAGCATGGCGGTAGCCATATGCGAGCTGAATCGATAAGCGTGTGGCATGCAACCGTCGACCGACTGGCGACACTTAGCCGGCACTTGTTGTTGCTGTTGGGTAGGTGGGTGGGTGAGGGGGAAAGGGGCGGCAAGTGGGTGGAAATGGATGCGGGTGGGGTAAGGTGTTGCCATAAAAGTTTGACTGCCCTGCGCTGATGTAATACCGCAAGACAATTTTGCCTCGAACGTCATATGGCAGAACAAGCAGCGGGAACCAACAACAAAAACTCCGTATAAAAGCCGGCTATAAGGTGCTCTCTCTTCACTTGCTTTTTCTACCTCTCCGCTCCCGCTTTCTCCGAATCTCTCTCCATTTCTCTCTCAACTGCACATGCGCGGGTTCTTGAAATGATGGAAGGTTGTACCCTACACTTTGTGCGCAATGTGAAATGTGTAACTCTATTCATTCTACAGTATTCTCTGGATAGGAGCCCGAAACAGCTTACTGAAGATTACCAAAACCCATCCTTTATTTATCTGCTTACACGCTTTAGGCTTTTAATTTCCATACGTTTCTAAGTCTAAAGCCCACTTTAAATTTAACAGGAGGACCCGACCCTAATAGTTAACTGGTTTACATCTCGCAAGATTTAGTTATTAAATTTAAAAGCATACATAAATGCAATCAGAACTTTTTTTTTTTGTAAAAAAGACTGATTAAAACTTTTCTTCAGCTTTTAAAAAAGTTTGTAGGGGAACCTAGAAAATTTGTTTTATAAATATATATATTTTGTTGCATTTTGTGTTTGGGAACGTCTACTGTACTCTGCGGAATACTTATTGTGTGATTCTTTTTTTCTACAATCCACAATCTTACATATTCTCATGGCAAGTTGATGAATCAGCTGTTTTGCAGAGCCACTGGAAAGGCAGCGCTGGAAGGCTGGAGAGCGGGCTCTTCGTTCGTAAGTCTCCGGAGGAGTCCGTGTCCGTGTCCGGGTCCGGGTCCGAATCCGGGTGCGATGTGGCACCCCGGCCGGCCACAGCTGTGGGCCCAAACAAGCCACAAGCCATATGCTATTGATTTTCTGGGCCTTTTTTGCCCATTTTTCTTGCCTCGGTTCCATGTTTCTTTTTATTTATTTTTTTTTTGGCTGTTACTTACTTTACGCTGACGCGACTGGTGTCGAGAGTAATGCAAGTTAATTTATTCGCTGCCAGCGAATTTCAGTTATTTACTTTGGGACTCCATATATATTCGCTCTATTTTGTCTGAAAGTAAGCACAGAAATATTGCATGCCTCTGGACAAACGAGTTGTGACGGCACTCCAAGGATTGCCGACGTAAGGTGATATTGATCAACATTATGAAAGCTGGTGGGAAGATGTGGCCGAGGGGAAATCAGTTAAGTGGAAGAGTTCAAAGGATGACAGAGTCTATGGTCCCAAGGCAAATCAAAATAGTTACTTTAATCTGGATTTATCGTTTTTTTTTTCTTATTGTATAGATAAATTAAAAGGAATAATTTATATTTTTTTCTTTATTCTATTATTCAGGTATTATTGCAAGTGTATATTGAAAAGTATAAATTTAAACTTCGGTCACAAAAGTAAATGTTACTTGATCAAATTAATTAAAGTTTTAATTATGATTTGGGGAATTATTCAGCTCATTTTTCATGCTAAATTTCTGTTTTTGGTCCCTTGTGACCGATTTAACCCTCGAATTTAATACCGCAAATGGCATGTAAGAAATCCCTCAATATTAAAAATTCACCCTAATCCCACAATTCTTCCGAGCGAGTCATAACTCAGGACAAGTCACCCCATTTTCGACTGCAGCCCCCTTTCACTTGTCGCCTGCAAGTATGCAATAAAAATCTATTATGTGTCCTACACACAACTCTCACACTCTCTCATACCCACACGCGGATTCAGACAACTGTCGTACATAAATCAAACGATTTGGACGCTATAAACGAAATGCAAACTGGGCTAAGAGGCTAAAGGAGCGAAATCCCCGGAAAACAGCCAGCGAATACGTAAAGGACTCCGACTCCTTGTAGAAAATACAGTTTCTTGTGCTTTTTATGGTGCAATTCATATTATAATGGTTACCTGTTGTTAATACATTTAATACCTTTAAAAATGTTTCTTATTAATTTTACAAACTTAAGTTCTCGAAAAGTATTTAGTATTCTGTAAGATTTCGAATTGAGATCCTAGGTTTAGTCCTTTTTCAAAAAAAAGTTACTCACCTTGTCTACCGGCATTGATGGGCACGCTCTGCACAGATTCCAGAATGAGCCAATCATAGGGAAATGCTTTTGCTGTTTGCCAAACCAAGGTGCCAAAAATACAAATTAAACACGCGCACGTAGGGGTTTATTTATTTTCGATATTCGGCGAATGGCGTTGCTTAAATTTAACAACTTTTCATGGGTCACACACACACGCGGCTTGCCTTTAAATTTAGATATTTCACCTCTCGCTCGCTCGCTTGCTCGTCCTCGGTCTCTCTCTCTCGCTCACTCTCTATACGCACACGCACCTGGATAATGCGTAGCGAAGAAAGTGCGTTTGTATTGTCATAGGCCAAATTGGATTAGACTTCCGCTGCGGGGAGAAATCGAGGCGTGAGAAAAAGTATTGCATACCAGCAGGCGCCTTGTCCAAATGATGATCTCATGCACACATACACACACGCGACATTTTTATGACCCCCCTGAATGTCAGCGTAATTAGCCAATAATACCTCGATTATATCGGGCAAACAATTTTATTGGACATTAAAAACGGGAAACTTGTGCGAGAGCCGCGTTCAGATTCTTATTTTTATGCCCTGGCAAATCGATATCTATTTTTCATGACAGCCCCGAGGTATGCAATACTTTTTAGCCGCTTCGTGCTGGCTGCAATTTCGTATTTCTTTCAGCCGTTTATTTATCTGTGGTCGTGGTCACTGGAGCGAATCTTCGGTAAGGTAACAAAGCCAAGAAACTTCAGGTGAAACACAGGGAAACACACTTTTTAAGATTGAACCGATTGCTCTCTGCTTTCTTCTCTGCCGCTGCTGCTGCTGCTTGTATATCAATATGGATCTGCCCTGGCTCTTTCGATTTCGATTTCAACTCGACGACGTTACGAACACGACTGAACCTGAACTGAAAGGTCTCAGAAAATAATCCACCGACAGAAGCCAAAGCGACGGCGTTGGAGTTGACGCAGGGCCTGGAAGTTTTGGGGGAGAGAGCTTTGGAAGTGGAATCGCGAATGGAAGCCACACTAAACATATGTTTGCATGGGCGTAGGAGTGCGCGAGGAAGTGCATTACCAATTAAGCAGAAGAAATAATTAAATATGAAGGAACTTTTAAGGGTGAGACGGCTATAATTTACTGCATATTTAATTCGGTTTGATTTGCCTTTTGAAAACCTGGCAACGCTGACATGCGCATTGCAAACGGTTAACTTGTGACGTCACTGTAGACCATAACAGCTGGTTTGCGAATATACCGCTATTCTAGAAACATTTTTTAGGAATATTTGAAAACTTGCTGTTACTTAAGACGTAACTTCTCATCCCTGAAAGTAAGCTACAAAATATTTTCATTCCGTTAAGATTTTTGTAAAAATAAATAAATATAAAAGCGTAATTCACAGGGTGCTACACTCTTTAACTTCGATTACTGTGTTAGAAAATTTACCTTTAATTAACACGGTTTACTTTGACTCGTAATATTCAAAAATATTTACGAAAAGAATTCCGAGCAAAAGGACCTGAAAGAAGAAAAAATGCTGTATTCGTCGCAGTTATTATTGTTAACAACATCGCCAGGATCAACTATTTATCAATCATACCAATTTATTAAAATTTGTAACGGAGATATTTAGGAAAGATTGACATGTTCTAAAATTTGTTTTGGATCCCAGTCGGAACTAAGCTCAATAACATGAACTATTCCCAATTTAGGCCTAGTACTCACTTCAATCAAAAAGCCAACGAAACGAACATTTCTATACAAAAAGAAGAAGCTTCTAGAGTTGATATAAAATGTAAAAATCTATCAGGCCTGTTCCAGTTTTCACTCGGAAGTGAATTTGTTAACATTATCGGATTTCCCTTTATCAGAACTAAATTTCCCTTTCTTGCTAGGGACATTTTATAAAATTTCCCATTGGTCCCTGCGCAGTTTTGAAAGGCTCCCGACAGAATAGTATTAAAAATCAGTGTGTAGTATAGCAAATAGTATTGCAAACTGCAAGAGCATACAGAGATGCCAAAGTCGAAAAACAAAGTCCCTATCAAATGTCCCCGTTCAAATTTCACATGAAAAAATGTGGTATTCCGAGCCAAAACACTTATTTCGTTAATTAGGATAAATTATCTTTCTTATAAAAGAACCATTAACCTTATCGGATAAGTTTAGAATAAGTCCCAAGGAAATTCTAACTTATATCCATACCGTGACAACTCTAAGCTATTTTTACCAAATCCGAGCGGAATTTAGAATAAGGGCGGCGGATTTGCATTAACCGGGTTTTAAGGTGCAACCACAAAATAATTATTAATAAGTCATATATGCAAATAATTTCGATTCCGATGATGCAATTAGGAACATAAAACATCAAGGAATAGCATAAAAATATTATTGACTTATAAAGCTATCGCGAAGTATATTTAAAGAATTAATTTTTATACTGCCGAATTTAAATCCGCCTGTCATATGCTTGGCGGAAAGTTTCCGTGTGAATTTTTCGGAAGTTAACAGAGTAACAACAGAGGGAAATTCAATTCCGTGTACTTCTTTCGGAAGTGAGTCTTGGAACAGGTCTGGGAAATACGAATCCGTGTGAAACTTTCGGAAGTGAAAACTAGAACAGGGCCGTATAAAAATTGTCTTTCAATTATTTTCGGTGAGGATCAATTTTTCTTATTAACATAGGACTACAAGAATGTCCTCGTAATGCCGACTTATGGCCGGTTTCTCGAGTCCCTGTCGAAGTCCCTGATAGCTATCTATCCGAAAAACTTAACGACCAGATAAACTTCGTAAAAGCAAATCTGTTTTCTCGACTCCTTTAATTTATCTGAACGTGTTACAGAGTGCTGTTAGCCTGTAAAGGCCGTAAAGGCAAAAATTCGACAATTTAATAGTCAGGGAATCCCCCAAATGTTTTACAAAAAATGTAATTTTTTCATTTTTGGTATATATTTTGCGGTGGTATGTTCCACCGGTTGATGGACGGTCACACAATTGTTTGTTTACCTTTTTATTAATTACGTTTAATCACCTTGTCGCTTAAGTAAATAGTTAAATATTTGTTATAAAATATTTATTATAATTTTAAATACAAGCTTTAATGTAATAGAGTAGTCACACTTAGAAAATAATTGCAGAAATAGCTTAGCTTGTTCGATGATTCGGATACGACGAGCAATTTGTGAGCAGGTGACAATATTAATTGAAATAGACATTTTCAGCCTTACCTGAACTCAAATCTTACAGCTGCCCCAGCTGAAGAACGTGTGCCATGCCCTGGAGGTGCCCGTCAAGAAACAGCTCCTCCAGAATGGCCGGCAACCGACTCTGGAGTGGATTCTGCCATCTGCGGTTGCGCAACAGGAAAGGGAGCTACTGGACGTTGTCAGTCGGCACCAATTCGATGAAACCTACGTAGAGAAAGTCCGGATAGTGCCCAGTGCTGGACGCAGTTCAGCCAAGATCGAGTTCCAGCTGCAGCCCCAGGCCTTTGTGGAGCAGCTCCTCCAGGCCAAAGAGAATACTCTACAGCCTTCGCCTTCCTCTGCGGAGCACATAGTGGTGGAGTATAGCTCGCCAAACATAGCTAAGCCCTTCCACGTGGGCCACTTGCGCTCCACGATTATCGGCAATGTCCTGGCCAACTTGCACCAGCATCTCGGTTATCGCACCACCCGCCTAAATTACCTTGGAGACTGGGGCACGCAATTCGGCCTACTGGCACTGGGTGTCCAACTGACGAAAGTTTCAGACGCGGAGATGCAGGCAGCGCCAATAGAAACGCTCTACAAATCCTATGTGGCTGCCAACAAGGAAGCTGAAGAAAATCCAGAGATCGCCCAGCGAGCAAGGGAACTCTTCGCCGCCCTGGAAGCAGGCACCGATGAAACTATGGCCGCGCAATGGCAGCAGTATAGAAAGTACACAATAGACGATCTATCCAAGGTCTACAACCGATTGGGCGTTCGTTTCGATAGCTACGAATGGGAATCCCAGTACTCCCAGCAGCAAATTCAGGATGTTCTGGACAAACTGCGCAGTGCTGGCCTCTTGCAACCAGAGCTAGATGGTCGTGAGATTGTCGTGGTGGATGGCAGACGCATTCCAGTGATCAAGAGCGATGGCTCCACTTTGTACTTGGCCAGGGACATCGCTGCCTTGCTCGAGAGACTCTCCAGATTCCAGTTCTCACGCTTGCTTTATGTGGTGGACAATGGCCAAGCGGATCATTTTAATGCCCTCTTTAAAACGGCGGTGGCTGTCGAAGATCGCCTGAATCTGGATCAGCTGCAGCATGTTAAATTCGGCCGCATTCATGGGATGAGCACTCGCCAGGGAAAGGCAATCTTTTTGAAGGATGTTCTGGATGAAGCGCGAGATATAATGCGAGAGAAACGAAACTTCAGTGCAAGTAGGTGGATGGAATACCTACCGAAACCCATTAATTCTAACACCGCGTTTTATTTTCTAGCCACCAAAGAGAACCACTCCCTAAATGACGAACATGTATGTGATATCCTGGGCGTCTCTGCTGTCCTGGTCAATGTCCTTAAGCAGCGTAGGCAACGAGATCACGAGTTCAGCTGGCAGCAGGCGCTTCAAGTAAATGGGGATACGGGGATCAAGCTCCAGTACACACACTGCCGGCTGCACAGTTTACTTGATAACTTCAGGGAAGTGAATCTGGACGACATCAAGCCCGACTGGCAGCATTTCGCACAGGAGCCAGCGGATGCCTTAGACCTGCTCTACGAACTTGCTCGCTTCGATCAAAGCATTTGGCAATCGAAGGAGCAACTGGAGGCCTGTGTGCTAGTAAACTATCTCTTCGGATTATGGTAAGTCAAATGGGATCAGAATAAAAGTTTTTTAAGTCAACCCTAGTGATAAAAAGTTAGAATATTTTTAGTTCAAAGATCTATAACATAATACTAATACTAAGTTTCTTTACCTTCCAGCAATGCCACCAGTCGAGCGTTAAAACGATTGCCTGTAAAACAAGAGAGCTGCCTGAAAAAACAGTCCCAGCGCCTGCTTCTCTTCCATGCTGCCAAGAAAACACTGCAAAAGGGAATGAAGCTCCTGGGGCTGCGTCCACTCGACCAAATGTAGACTCATATCTGTTAACATACTTGTTATTTATTAAAACATTTCGATAAAAAATGCAGCCTAGTATTGCAAAGGCACGTGTCCGTTTAGCGCTTCTTCCACGTGTACTTGCGGCGTGCTCCTTCCTGTCCGAACTTCTTACGCTCCCGACGGCGATAGTCACGTGTCAGCAGGCCGGCTGCAGCATAAATTGCAATTAGCGGCAATAAGCCAATGGAGACGGCCACATAGGAGCCTCAGGCACTTACCCAGACGCATTGACTCAATCATCTCTTGATCGACAAAGCTGCGCAAACTCATCGCGATGCCCCAGCGGATGGCTCCGGCCTGACCGGAAGGTCCGCCTCCCTCGACATTGGCCTCCACATCGACTTTGCCCAGCAGCTCGCTAAATTGCAGCGGGAAGAGCAACTGGAAAAATCGAGATAACGAATTGGCGAATGAGAATGAGATAATGTCGTGGCCACCACCGTTAGATGTCAAGTTCGAGCGCCCGAGGCAGCCATTGTACGGATCTCTCTGTATACAAAACGATGCTGCGATAGCGCTTCCTGTACAACAATGCGGCTAGATAATGGCGGAATCGTTAGCCAAATTAAATGTCTGTCGGCCGCGGCCACTAAACTGCAACAGATTGTTGCATGTCCGCCTGGCAATTAGAAAACTCGTCAATCGAGTGGGTGGGAGCTGAACAGCTCGTCTGCCAGCCACGGCTAGGTGTGATGCAAATTATAAATGCATTATAGCACTGCATCAAGTCCGGATAATTGCGTAGCCGCGGGCATGATCAGCACGCGCTGTCCCGTTAATAGGTTGGGTAATAGGTCGACATACGTAATTAGTAAAGTTCTTTTAAATAGCTATTAAAGACGATTGAGTAATATCAGAAATCGGGTTTTAGATTATTACTGTAATACAAAGTAGAAAAAACCAAAAAGAAATCACAAGAAACTGACTGGAATTTAAAACTTAAATTTAAACAAAATAAATATATTATTGTATTTATCTTGGACCCATTAAAACTCTATTCATTATGTTTCGCTCAATTTTTAAATTGTAAAGCTATGAATACTTTTTATTGTCAAAGATTTTTTAAATTATGCTAAATTAATTTTGAATAATTTTAGTAAAACTTTTTAAGCAAGGGCATCAAAATAAAGACAATTCTCCTACTAAAAAAAATCCAAGAGTGGCAATCTCTTTGGAAATTTTCCAAGAATTTAATGTGTTATGTAAAATCTTATTTCACATATTTAAAAATAATACCCGTTTAAGAAGAAATTCGACGCAAAAGCATTTATCAAATAATTTTGCATATTTAGTACACTGTTCTGACGCCAGTCACAAAGTTCACAGATTCCAAAAATCAAAACAAATCGTAATTCATTTTTTTCGTATCGACCATTTTTCGGTTTCGACTGCGTGGGAAACAAAGTCAAGGGGCTTGACAAACGTAACGCCTAACAATGGTCGAAGGCACACAGACAATAAACGTTATGATTAAAAAACAATAAACAATAAAACTACGACAATAAAAGGGGAAGAGCAATTTTTTACTTTTTGTTCTTGTCCCTCTTTTTTGGCAAACCAAATCGACAACTGCCATCAATCACTGAAAAATTGCCAGATGAACAACGAAATGGGAAAGAGACAGATTTTGATTTGTTTAAACAAATTGCTAGATGACTTCACGCAACAGTAACAACAATAATAAACATTATAAAAGGCTTACGAACAAGATTTTTAAATTAATGTAGGTACACAACAACACACAAAGACTGACTGCCAAAGACGAGCGACAGAAATGCTTAATTGACGGCGATAAAAATAGCAACAGATTTGCAGAAAAGTGACGAGGCGAATAATAAAACTGGTTCCCCCAACTTCAGGGTTCCCCAAGTTCCAAATCTTTCTTAATGTCGTTATTAGGTGTGGTGTTGGGGATTTTTCGGGGTGTTGTGGGAAGCCTGGGGGTGGTGCTTTCACAGGGAGACAACCTACCGGCATCTCTGGGCTTCAAGAAAATTCGCGGCAAAATTTTATTATGATTTAAATGAGTTTTATAGTTTGACACATGAGCGAAGTCGACACGACAGAAAGCCACGAAGATCTCGCTCGGCGGACAAACTGTACAAGTGTAACGGTGTCGGATCTTGGGGATATAGTATATATACTAAGTGTACATCTACTTCATTGGCGCTCGTTCGTGCGGCTTAGTTTTGGACACTCATATCGCGTACAATATCATTTCGGCGCAGTTCTTTTTATCAGTCGATCCCACGTCGTTGAGCGCGCGTCTCAAGTGTCGGAAAATATTACATCGCCCCAAAAGAAAATTCTATCTGAACTAAGCATCCAAAATAAAGGACTATTTTTAAAGCAAAATGTCGCGACCATTTTATGTTCGCGGACTTTGGGACTGCAATTAAAAGCAGCTTCGCATTAGAACAATGTAAAGTGTAGTTAAAAAGTTTTTGAACACTTACTAGAATTTTGGTTTACCAACTGAATAGTAATAATGACCTAGAGATTCGTAATTCTCAAAATTTAGATAAATTTTAGTACACATTTAAAAATGTATTGCAAAAATTCCATCGCATCAGAAAATTTAAAAATTCATACGTTCGGATTTTTTGCTTAATTTGAAGTTAATACATTATAAAATAAATCTAAAATATAGAAAGTTTGCAAGACTGAGATAGGCAATTAAAACAACATTTTACTAAAGTAAAATTCTAAAATAACAAAATGTCTTTTAAAAAACAAAAAATAACACTTTTAATGTTTTTTTCTTGTCCGCATATTTAAAGTACGCTTTAAACTCTGAATTTCCAAACGTTTTCAAGATTTAAAACTTACTTAAAATTTAACATGCGGACGAGAAAACTGCCTATTGATACAAGAAAATTCAATAAATTGTCAAAATAAAAATATTAAAACAGGGCACAAGTATCAAAACTATTTACCTTCTGAATATCTATTTAAAACTATCTATTGAAAATCGAAACTACCAAAAATCAAATTTATTCGATTAATTACTAAAAAAATAGCAATAGGCGTAGAAACCCAAGTATCTGAGTACAATTTCCCTCATATCAGTGAAATGCAGCGATTTCAATTACAAAATCTACGAAATGGACAATAAACGATCTCTATAACCGAGTGCAGCTCATGAATAGCAATTGAGATTTGTTTACACTCGGTGCTAAGCTTTTGTCGACTGCATTATCCTTTAATTCGTGCACTGCGGCTCAAATTCAATTGCATCTGCATGGGCGTCCGAATCTATATGAATCGGATCTAGTACTCAGTGACTGTACGAAGTGTACTATGGGGAATGGGCATGCGCTTCAGGTTCAAGGGCATTATAAAAGCAACGCAAAAATAAAACTTAACTCAGCCCAATGCGTTCGCTCACATAATAACCCCCTTAAGTCCCCCACAAAAGCGCGAGTAAAATGAAGAAAAAAATGTCAAATTGATTTCAATTATAATTGAATCAACGAGCGGCAAAAAGAAATACCCGAGAAAGTTAACGAACGATCGCGAAGATCGTTCGGCGAATCGCCATTTTCACGGCTCGATGGCGGCGCAGTTTTCCAAAATGGCCGGCGGCGGTCTGTCATAACGGGTAAACGGCAAATGGCACTTCCGGGCCTTCAAATTCAACAAAAGCTCGCCCAACGCTCTATTTAAAGTCTAACACTTTTTTGCAACTGCAAAAATGTATAAAAAACATATTAATTGATTAGGCGAATTCCAGCAATTCACACAATGCGGCAAAAGTGGCAGCAAATTTGTAATCACACGGGGGCGTTTTAAAATAAATATTTGTTCAGTATGTTAGCGACTTTTGGGGCCTCGCAGACTCCAGACACTAACCCAAAAACGGCACTGAAAGAAACACAATTAGTTGGAAACTCACTTTACAATATTAACGCCAGCATATGGATAATGGTGTAATTTCTTAAATTATAAACTTGTGTTTAATATTGTATTTGATTTTTTAAATGAAACTATCTTGATTGTTCTTGACAAAAACAAATGTTTTTTTTTCCGTGCAACGGACCCTAACGAATCAAAAACTGGTTTCTCAACTACGCACAGATTTTGATTAATTTGCTCGCATAATTTAGCCAGCTCAATTTTGGCCGAAGTTTTTGTCGTTACCTTGTTTATCGCCATATCTGTTTAATCAGTCAGCGGATTTTTGTTTTGCCTAATCAAAGAAAGTTTCTCATGCGTTGTCGCCAGGCAAACAGAGACTCTTTTTTTCGTTTCTCATTAACTTTTGTTTATATTTTGCAAACAAGTTTGAAAGATTCCCAGAATCGCTCGAGAATTGTTTACGGTAATGCGATGCCGAAAGTAATGCAACAAATGGAACTTGAACAAGCTTAACGCTTCGCTAGCTAATTTAATCTAATGTGCCACCGTAACTCTTTATATTTCTAGCAGCCGTGTACCTAAAATTACATAATCTGGAGGAAAATCTAAAAATAATTAGATATTATACTCATACACCGACCAGACTTTTACTATGCTCAAAATAAATGAAAACAATAAAGAATTTTGTGCAAAAAACAAAAAAGCAAGATTAAGAGGGACTGTCAAATCGAACAATAAGAATAAATAAATTAGAAAAAAAAGAGAAGGAATATATTTTAAATTATATTAGAATTAATTAAAATTTAGCAAGCTAAGAAAACAAATTGGCAGGAAAGTTTTTATATACGCTCATTATAGAAAAAATCAAAACAACCTTGACAAGGTTTGTTCCATTTTAAAGTTATTTATTATTTGTCAAGAGTTCTTCATAGATGTTAGAACTTTAGAACTTAACATTAAACCGCTCCTGATCGTTGGAATCTGCTTACATACTGAATGAATGAGTACTTCCACTTCTGACGTTGACATAATTGTAAATAATATGAGCAAACAAAATCAAGAAAAAATAAGCAAATAAGGCATGGGTGTGTCTCAAAAGGGGGTGGTTTATCCACACCCAGAGAAATGTGGGACTATTTTTTAGGTAACGTATGACCTAAAAAATTTAAATAGACTAAAATTTCAGATTTAGGTAATGGGTTACCTAAAAATATTAGCATGTGGACTATGTTCCTACTTTTTAGGTAAAGCTAAAGAGATTTTTATAGGCCATCGTAACCTTCAAATTGGTCCATATGACCTAAAATTTAGGAATAATTTAAAGTCGATTATCACTCACAACTTAATACAAATATTGGTCCCTAATATTAATAAACAAATTATTCGGTTTTTTAAGTTTAATGTTAAAAAATTTTTTAGACTTTTCTTAAAGCTAGTGATGGAAAAGTTTCAATATATAAAATCAATACCTACGTGGACTATTTTCCTACTTTTTAAGGTAATAGTGCCCTATTCTAAAAATA